TGAAAGGCCAGATTAGCAAGATAACTCAGCAAGTCCCATGTCACCAAGCTTGACAGTTAGCTCCCAGGGACACACTTGGTAGAAGAAATCAATTCCTAGAAGTCATTCTTGGACTGTCACACTAGCTCACCCCTTCTCACCAAATAAATAAGTATAATAATCTTTAAAAATATTTATTTGGGGGCTGGAGAGATAGCTCAGGGGTTAAGAGCACGGACTGCTCTTCCAGAGGTCCTGGGTTCAATTCCCAGCAACCACATGGTGGCTCACAACCATCTCTAACAAGATCTGGTGCCCTCTTCAGAAATTTAAAAAAAAAAAAAATTTTTGTTTTCAAGACAGGGTTTCTCTGTGTAGCCCTGGCTATCCTGGAGTTTGCTCTGTAGACCAGGTTGGCCTTGAACTCACAGAGATCCGCCTGCCTTTGCCTCCCGGGTGTTGGGATTAAAGGTGTGTGCCACCACCGCCACCAGGCTCAGAGTAAATATTTTCAAAATAAACATCTGATACAAGATCTAGAATATAGGGAACTTTTATAAACCAGTATAAAGACAAGAACCCAAATAAAATAAAGGATGCAAACACCTGAATTTACACTTCACTAAAGACAAATAAATGGCAAATAAGCATGTGAAAAGATGTTGAACATCAATAATTAGAGAAATGTAAATCTGGAAATAACCCAAACTAGGAGCAACCCGAATAGTGCTTGGCAGATGAGGGCATAATGAACTGTGCCAAACTCCACCGACAGCATGGTGCGGCCCAGGAGTGTCAGGAGGGGCTAGACAGGGCCCGCCACGCCGACGGCAGCACTGCCTTTACCCCGTCCTGCAATCAGTTACTAGAGACGGCCGGGCTCGGGGGAGGCCTGACTGTAGAAGGAATGGACAGATTCACCATCACACACACAGGAAACTCCACGCAGTATGTTCCAATATGTGCAGCTGATGCTTCATTTCCCAATAAAGCAGTGAAATCAAGCAGTCCCAACGGACAGCGGGTCTCAGCTGGGAAGACGACATTTACTTCTACCTTGAAACACTGTATTGATTTTAGCAAAGATTTTAAGAGTTACGTTGGGTCAAATAAGAGGATGGGATCAGAAAGCAAACTCCATCCTAAGAACTCCTTAGCGTGAAGTTAAAAGGAGAGACGGCATGGGCCTGTCTTTTAGACACTTGGACAATCAGCACATGGAGCGGAGCGGCTGACTGGGTGGGAGGCAGCAGGGAGGGGTGGGAACAGGGCCGACTTATTTTCAAAGCAAAGCAGTGCTGCTTTAATACAAATTCCAACCATTTGCTCTAGCAATTCCACTCCCAGGTATTTGCCCAAGAGAAATGAAATATAAGCCCACACCAATGCTTCACACTCATGCTCTAGTTAGTGCTATCCACAGCAATCAGGGCAGAAGCCACCCCACCAGCAGATGAGCAGGCCAGGTGTGGTGACACCTGCCTGTAATCTCAACACTACCAACACTTGGGAGGAGGAGGCAGGAGAATTGAGGTTCATGCCAGCCAGGACCAGCGTGAGACCCTGTCTCAAAAGGTGCTGCTCAAAACAGAATAAGTCCATCACACACTGGACTATTACCTGCAGTGGAGATACTAGGTGCCATACTGTGCCAGGCCTGTAGGCTCAGCTGGCTGGTAAGGACAATGGGGTGGTGGAGACCTTGCCTGCAGGGCCTCATTGGTAGTAGATGGCCAGTTCTGGAGTTTGATGGCCGTACGGAGGTCCCACAATGGAGCTTCTGAGCCAAGGTCAGAAGCTTGTAGGTCGTGAAGGTACCCTTCCTCACAGTCTAGCTTTCTTAACTCCTCAGGGGAGTTATGTGAGCCCTACAGTCAAGAAACTGTGACACATGTGTGGTGGTATTGTGTTCCCCAAAATATTGTGTACTCTAATAAATTTATCTGGGGTCAGAGAACAGACAGCCACTAGATACAAAGGCTAGAAAATGGTGGCACTCACACCTTTAATCCTAGCATTCCAGAGATAGAAATCCCTCTGGATCTCTGTGAGTTCAAGGCCACATTGGAAATAGCCAAGCATGGTGACACACGCCTTTAATCCCAGAAAGCCAGCCTTTAATCCCAGGGAGTGGTGGTAGAAAGCAGAAAGATATATAAGGCGTGAGAACCAGAAACAAGAAGATTTTGGCTGGTTAAGCATTCAGGCTTTTGAGCAGTAATTCAGCTGAGACCCATTCCAGATGAGGACTCAGAGGCCTCCAGTCTGAGGAGACAAGACCAGCTGAAGATCTGGCGAGGTGAGATAGCTGTGGCTTGTTCTGTCTCTCTGATCTACCAGCATGGACCCCAATAACTCGCCTCAGGTTTGATTTTATTAATAAGAACTTTTAAGAATCCTGCTACACACATGCCACCACAGATGAACCTCAAAAACACACTCTGCCAAAGAGTCAGATATAAGCTGAACAGTTCATTACAGGAGACGTCCAGAACAGGCAAATCCAAAGGGGGACCACAGGGGGGTGGCTCCCAGTGCTGCTGCTGCTCTGAGCACAGGGAATGGCTGTTAACAGCTTATGGTTTTCTCTGGGAGTGATGGAAAAGTTGGAGCTAGATACAGAGACGGGAACAAACCTAGTAAATTGTTCACTTTCAGGGGTGAAATAAATATATGGCGTGTGAATCACATCAAAGATTCGAGCCAGGCTGACACCTGGTAGCACACTGAGGAAGGATGCTCTCCACAATCAGCCCGAGAGACTGTACAGCCCACACACAAACAGAAGCTCCCTGCTTCAGATCAAAGCCCTGAGCCTCCCTCCCCTGCCACTCACGCCATCCTGTAGTACCATGTGAGGCCAAGGAACACCAGCAAAAAATTCTGGAGTTTCCCAGCAGTCCCAGGTACACCCACTGCTCACTACAGAGCATTCAGTGCCTGGCTTTTCTCTAAGCATAGGCTCACCGTCCATGTGACCACGGAGAAAACACTTGATGGTCTAGCACAGAATCAGAAAACTTCACATAGACATGTAAGGGCTCACATAACCTCCTATGGTGTCCTCTGAGGCATTAAGAAAGCTAGACTGTGAAGAAGGGTAACTTCTCAGACCTACAAACCTGGACCTTGGTTCAGAAGCTCCATTGTGGGACCTCCGTATGGCCACCAAACCCAGAACTGGCCACCCCCTGCCAATGAGGCCCTGCAGGCAAGGCCTCTACCACCCCATTGTGTGGTGATATATTGTGTACCCTAATAAACTTGCCTGAGTATCAGAGAACAGAGCCAGCCACTAGATTAGATATAGAGGTCAGGTAGTGGTGGCACACACACCCTTAATCCTATCACTTGGGAGGCAGAGATCTGTCTGGATCTCTGTGAGTTCAAGGCCACACTGGAAACAGAGCCAGGCAGTGGTGGCACACACTTTTTTAATCCCAGGAAGTGATAGCTGGGCAGAGAAAGGTATATAAGGTGTGAGGAAACAGGAACTCACTCTATTTAGACTGACTGAGGATTTTGTAGAGGTTAGAACCAGTGGCTGGCAATTCTACTTCTCTGAATTTCTCCTGATATCTGGCTGCGGGCTTTTTATTATAAGACCATCTAAGATTTGAACAACATCACTGTCCTCACCAGCCAGCTGAGCCTACAGGCCTGACCACAGTGTGGCACCTGGCATCTCCACTGCAGTACCCTCAGCCCTCACTCTGCAGCCTGCCAGAGGCTCCCAGGCAGTGCTGCATCTGCAAGAGGCCAGAGGTTCCCTCTGCTAGTGCCGTCAGCTGGCCGGTCTTTCTCTTCTCCCATTTCAGCCACTATGACGGGTCACTCCATGTACAGCTTAGGCTTTGCCACCCTGCAGGTCCCATGGTTGTGTTGGTCAACACAGCAGTCTCTCACGAACTCTGGGGGTCTCAGTGGCATGGCTGAGTGTAAAGCCTGGCTCCTGTGCAGGAGGCTGGGAAAGGCACAAAAGGACAAGCAGGGCGAGAGCAGGCAGAGCTGTGCACACAGGGTCTCTGTCAACAGGCCATGGCATGAGGGAGACAAGTCTTCGAGCTGGAATTCACATATGCACAAAGAAATCCAGTTCCCGACCTACCAATATAACCCAGGCCTCCTGTCCGTCCAGGGGAGCTACTGCTCCCAAACCTGATCCCCCCAGGATAACCGCCTGCTTCCTTCTGAGCACCTCTACCTGGTGTCCTTGCTAACTAGACACAGGGACCACACTCTGGAATGGTCCCCATAGGGATGCCTCCATGGACAAGGATCCTAGATGCAGAAGCTTGCTCTGTGGCCATGACTGGAAGAACCAAGTGGTTCTAGGCCACTTTAGTTTTCTCAGTGTCCAAGGCCAGCCTGAGAGCTGCAGATAAACAAAGGCCAGCACAGCACAGCCTGCCTCACAGCCCAGCATCCCTGTGAGTTCGGGAGCCCTCAGCCACATTAGCACCTCCCCCCTAAGGCCCGCCCAGCTTGCAACATCACCTCAGAGGAGCGAGTGCATGAAAACACAGGCAGGCACAGGAATCAAGACTCAGGGAACTGCACCTGAGTTCTAGCACTTTCTAAGTCTCCTGTACTGTGAGGTTTGTAGATGTGGGGTGCACCCTCCGGGGCCCACCCTTCTCACTTGTCTTCATGCCAGAAGCAACTCAGTAAGTTAGTGACCACTTCAGTCCAACCTTCCACATAGGCCCCCTATATCTGCCACTTAAGTGTTGGCCCCAATGCCTTTCGATGTGGCTGTGCCTGTGTCTGTTGGTGCCCAGCCATGCTCTTCAGGGAAGGCAGCCCACCAAGGGGGACTCCAAGCAGCGCCCTGAGGCCATATGGTACATGCCACTTTCAACGGAGAGCTCGACACCTCACCAGCTCTGACATTTTAAAACTACTTTTCTTATTTAGCAGATAAAACCTAGTTTTCAGTCTGGCACCAGCTCTCCAGACCTGCCTGATATATCCAGTGATTCTGGGGGCCTCCAGGCCCTCTTCCCAGCCAAGGGTCTTACCAAGTTCCTTGGAGCCCTGGCTCTCGCTGGCCAGCTCCCCCATCTTTACGAGAGCGTCGAAATAGCCTTTGGCAGCGAAGGTGACACCTGCGGGGACAGAAAAGAGGGGTTAATTCCTGCACAGAACCCAGAAAAGGCCTGCTGCCGACACGGATGGCAGTGGTGCCCACCCCCACCTAAGCCTGGACAAGCTCAAGGAGTGCTCTAGCTTCGTCGTTGCTGTGGACGCCACGGCTTCTTGTTGATGCTCTTATTCCCCTGCCAGCACGAGGGTTCCTTTCATTTGTAAGAACACAGTGTACTGTGCAGGTCCAGAGCTATTCAAGTGACGCTGCGGAGCGTGGCGCCCTGTCATGTGCTGCCTGACGAGGGGGCGGAGTGCAGCGTCAAGTGTACTACACCAGACACAGCGCCTACAACAGCGCCTGCAGACCCTGGGCAAGGTCACGGCAGCTCTGCAAGGCCAAAGATTCCAAGTCAAAAGACAGTCACTGTCCTCAGTCTCAGAACAGGCTCTAACCAGGGGCAGGTGCATTGCCCACAGCAGGCTAAGGGCATCATATCCGCATTTCGTAGAAAGAGGGGCTTCTGGGGGTGGAAAGCTCAGCACCTGCCTTTCCTCCCCCCAGCCACCAGGTCCAGACTTCCTTTGCTGTGCCTGGCACACTCCTCCACCTGAGGAGGGAAGGCCCCAACCACCTATCCTTCACTGTTCAAAGCAGGGAGGACAGAAGAGGCTGCCAGGTGTGGAGAGCAGGGCCACGAGAAGCAGCCACCAGTGGCACCACTACACTTTCTAATTTGTTTTCTACGGAATTCCGTTAGAGGGTTGTAACTGGGCACTCTATCAAACTTTATATGGTTTTCAATTAAGTGCACACAATTTGTTCTGTGGTACGAGATCGTGTCCCTGGGGGACTGAGGAGTTTCTGTTGCCTGGGAGGGTGGACCTCTTAAAACAAATGGAAGAAAAGATGAAGGAGCAGAAGTTGGGCACTTGGAGGCTGAGCGGCCGAGGTGGTGTGGGTAGCCTGTGAGACTGAGCCCAGCCTAGACAATCAGAGAAAACAGGAAGAGGAAATAACCATCCATCCAGCCTGTCCACACACAGTCCTGACAACTCCATGAGGAACACCAGGGGGGCCAGGAGGGTCTGGAAGGAAACCGTCCCTGAGCGTCAAGGAGCTGGAGGGTAACATCAGAGAGGAGGGCCGCTAGAGCCTCCATTATATCCAGAGAAGGGGAGACCACACCTCAAATTCAGGGCACTGGGTCACAGAACTCTACCGATGGAGGAGGGCCGTGCCAGGGCAGAAAGACTCCTAATGGCTTAGATACAAGATTGTACAACATCGGTAGAGAACTCCTGCCCTCCGGGGTTCTCCCATCGTGCTGTAAGCCTGTATTTAAGACCTCCTCCCTCCTTCAATAAAGAGCATTCAGCACTAAAAATAAAATAAAATTGAGGTGCAATCCCCCCCAAAAGACTCCTAATGGCTAGGTCACCAAGCGCCACAGGGATGGCTTTGGAAGGGGACATCACTGGTGCGGAATGTGTCAGTTTCTCTCCTACTTGTCATGGCATAGAGCCATCCAAGCCTTCGGATGTCACCAGACACAGTCCACCTGAAAATCAGAGCAGGAAGAAGCAGCTGGATACATTCAAGGTCCCAGAAAATTCTTTTGCCGGGAGAACTGGAGCATCGTGTGCTGTGCCTGGAGATAACAGGCACTTGGGACACAGGGCAGAGGCCTCCTGGTTGGTCCCCATGCTGCATTTCTACTTCCAGGGCTCTTCCAGGAGCCACAGCCAGACACAGAAAGTCACCTCCTCTTCCCACACAAAAGAAGCTGAGGGTGAGCAGGCAACAGAGTGGGAGCAAGGGCTGGGTGTGGTGCGAACGTAGTCTCAGTACTTGGGGGCTGAGGCAGAGAATATGAGGCCAGTCTCACACAATGCGGAGGCCAGGCCTCAGGGCTTGGGGTCAGTGCTGAGCTCCAATAGACCAGGACCACTGGATGTTCCCCTCCCACAGCTCGCCTTGGTGTGGCCTCAGTGACCTCTAGGAATATGCAGGAGACTGCTGCCATGGTCCTGCTACAGGTCAGCCCTACTTGGAACAACCATCAATAGAACAGATTAGGGTACCTGGGAGGACTCGTGTACAGGAGGCCACTTGGCAGGACTGTTCGACTAAAGCGGGAAAGCCCTTGTTCCCACACTGGGTGGGGCAAGTAGGAAGAACATTGGTGGCTTGACAGTTCCAACTGGACAGTGTGACCAGGATCAGGCCCATGCCACCAGAGATCAGTCAGGTGCTCTGTCCTCAAGCGACCACAGGCTACAGGGAGGGAGCCATAACAAGACCCTGCTAACTAAATATAGCTCTCTCTGCTGCCTTGTACTTGAAACCTGTAACTGAACCAGGGGCTCATCCCACACCTGGGCCACAGCATGGTGAAGCCGCAGAGGAGGAAGGATGTAGTACATGTTTTGGAATAACAATGGCCTCATGCTTTACTTACAAAGATGGTGACCACTGCAGCCCACCTTTACAGGTGAGGTCACAGGGACTGACCCCAGGGTCAGGATCTGGAAGAGTGGCTCTCTTGATGCATGCTAGGACCAATGATGGGTTTCAGTCCTTTCCTTCTATGAGCTGGGGGTGGAAGGTGTCTAAAGAATCTGTGAGCCAAGGGTCTAGCACAGCTGCCCCAGCCCCAAAGGAGCTGCAGCATGTCTATTCACCAGCGTGAGGACACAAGCCCTAGACCCAGGGTCACTTAGTACCAGCCCCAATACTGTACTTTGCATAAAATTCTAAAGAGCAGACAGCTACATCCTTGTCTCCAAGTAGCCTGCTTGTTACCACAGCTGTGGAAGAAAAGCAGCCTGCATGGAGTCCAGCCTGCATGGAGTCCAGCCTGCATGGAGTCCAGCCTGCATGGAGTCCAGCCTGCATGGCGTCCAGCCTGCATGGCGTCCAGCCTGCATGGCGTCCAGCCTGCATGGCGTCCAGCCTGCATGGCGTCCAGCCTGCATGGCAAGGGCCTGTGGTCACAGTGAATGCAGGGTCACATTCAGAGCACACGGGTGGGCACACCCTCTGCTCATCTCAACCAGATGTTTCTGGAACAAAAGGCCTAGTGGCTTCTACCCAGGCAGTAAGAGGCTGAGAGGAAGTTCATCTGTGAGCCAGAGGACAGGGGCCAGCTATACCTGCCAGCGCTTTCTCATAGTTCTTCCCCATGGCGATGAAGTTGCGGAGGCTGGGGTTGAACTGCTCCATGATGGTCTGGAAAGGAAGAGAGAAAGCAACGTCACCTTACCACCGTCCACCCAGAGCCGCGAGGGCTCAGCCTGGATGGGATCCAGAAACACCCCCCCCCCCAGGTCGAAGCCCCAGCTCTGCCCATTGTGAGCACTACACCCTGGGGTGGGCAGAGGCTTCTGTGCAGAGTGTCTGCAGAGCAACAAGGGTCTTTGCAGGGCCACACGCACAGGCAGCACGCACAGGCATGGCTTCTGAGGCGCCAGGACTCAGCTGGCAGGGCTGAGTCAGCCGTGGGAGGCCACCCGTCGGCCACACACAAATGCTCAGCGACGCCCCCCACGCCACCACCCTAACTCAACACACCAATTACCAGCATCAGCCCTGATTAGAGCAGCGCACAGCCTGATTTACAAATACACACTATGAATAATCCAACAGGCTCCGGATCTGTTTGCCCGACGGACCACAGTCCCCGTGCCAATCGGCAGTTCTTAGACTCAAGAAATTAGATTTTCACTGTGAAGGCCAAATAAATGTTTTAATTACATGGCATAAAAACAGGCGCACACAAACAGCGGCCAAATGAGAATCGACCAGCAGAGTACCACAAACTGTCGACAGCCTACGCCAGCCAGGGAAGACCCCAGGAGGAACTTTGAAAGAAAACCTGACCAGACCAGATCCTAAGCCAGTGGGGAGGGTGCCATGCTGGGAGCTGGACTCTTCCCGAGGTAACAGGAAGAGAAGCCGCCTGGCTTTATACCAACTCAGTCCAACCTGCGGCCCCAGTGAAGGACCAGCATGACAACTAAGAAGGACATTTAAGGACACCAGGCCGTGATCACAATAGGGCTTGGTTCCAGAAAACCCGGCATTGGCCTGCCCTGGGGTATGGCAGGATATCCTCACCAAGGGGCCTCAAGATCCTCCCTCATTCTTGGGGAAATGAGGACTCCAATTCCAAGCTGCCACCACCCAGCCTGTCACACGTGGACCTGGCTTGCTGACCCCTCACTCCAGGAGGGCTCCTAGCCCACAGGAACCTCAGATGGTAACACTTCTCAGGCAAATCTACAGGGCTGGTGGCCCTGCCTTCCCAGCCAGGTGCCTCTTCATGCTAGCCCTGAGTCCTCAGAACGTGAGCATTCGGCAACCAACTAACCCCAGGTCCCACAACCAGCAACTGGGGAGGGAGGGGGGAAGGCTCCAGCAGGGTTGGGATCCGAGGGCAGAGCCCAGTGAGAGGCAGGGAGGACACACTGTCGTGACTGAGAGAGGAGGCAGGCAGGCAGGCAGGCCAGAACAGTGTAAACACCCCAGGCCAAACCAAGCTGTGCTATAGGCTTACAGGCGCCAACAGGAGAGGAAGTGAGTGTAGTAATGTCCCGGAGACAGGACAGGAAGCTGGGAGGATCTGAGCAGAGCCAAGCTGGATACACCAGAAAGGCCCTGGCTGCACAGATTTTAGTCAAGGGTCAAAGAGGAAATAGCGAGGAGCCTCCCTGCTGTTCAACCCTAACTATGAAGGGAGGAAGGAGGCGCCTAGCTGGGCTGCATTCCTGTGTTCTGTACACCAGGCAGTGACTGAGGACAGCTGGGACCTGACTGGGGAAACGAGAGGCAGACACGGGGACAGGACCCTGAGGTGGAACCGGGTGCATACTGGGTAGGGTGTAATCCAAAGAGCATGGGGGACCAGACAGGGACCCTACATGAGCCAAATGCTGGAGTGCTGAGTCTAGGAGCAGGCCCAAGAACGTGGATCTAGGCACACCCTTGAGGGTCCTGGGAGGAAGAGGAGGCTTAGTCCAGATCAGTCCTCTGAGCTTCATTCACATCCTAAATGACAGGAGAATATGCCAGAAACCACCCAAGGCCAAGTAAGGCAGACCGCTGAGGCACCTGTCATGTCTCCCGGGACACAGAGGGCAGCTGTAAGGTTTCACTTCCTCAGTGCAGCTGAGCTCATTCAGGAGGAATGTAACGTGGGTGGTGAGGTGCCAGCTAGGACACCTAGGCATGGCTATAGCCCCCACCTGCTCAGGAGCGGCCAGGCAGCTAGGGACGCACTGCTACTGCTGTCTTGGCCTGAGGCAGTGGCAGGGACAGGAATGCCATTGGGCTGACACTCTATGGCCATAGAGGGCCAGTGTCTTTCCAGGTCTGCATAGCAACACCCGCCCTGGCTGGAAAAGTGGCCCTGCTCTGAAGGAGGCTTATTTCCAGGCTCCTGGCCAATGTCACAATCTTTCTTTGGGTCACCTGACTTCCACCTACCTTATAAGAAATGCAGCGGCTCACAAAGGGGGGAACCCATCTGGGGTGTGTGTACATACAGGTGCACACATACATTTGTGTATGTCAGGGTCTCTCTAAGCTCAATTCTCATTATTCTAGGGTTCATGCAGAAGCCATCTGGACATGGTATGCCATGCCTGCCCCTCCTGCCCCACCTCATCAGTCCCTGTGGGGGAGTACAGTGCCCGCCCACCTGCTACAGACTGGCTCCCATGAGAGAACAAGTTCCTGCCTGGGCCCAGGCCAGCAAGGCCGAAGCGCAAGCACCCAAGGAGAAGGGCTTGCTCACTGGGGAAGAGATCGTCTTCCTTATCAACACCAAGGAGCACAAAGGAAAAGCAGAAGCTGCAAGTTTTGACTTTGTAAAAATAAACAAACTCAAGATTCCGAGGAAGAATCTCCTTCTTCATGAAAGCCTAAAGCCAGGAATCCATTAAGAGGGCTGGGAGGTCCTGATAGGCAACTCAGGCTATCTCTTTCCTGCCAAAACAGAATCCTACTCAATAAACAAGCACCACACTTTCTTTAAAACCCAGGTCAGTGACCCACCTCCCCCAAAATGTGCTGGGACTGTGAGGTGGCTCCTTGGGTAGCTTTTCTGGACCAGGAACTATATATATTTAGAACCACAATTCTTTTACTTATTCACCTGCTCATTCAGTATTTATAAGAGACACCTTCCACACACCACATAAAGCTCTGGAGCACCTGCAGACTCATGGGAGATTGTCCTGCAGAACACATCTGTCTCAAAAGGGCTCGGGGCTTCAGGAAGACCACCAAAAGATGATCGGAGCTCAAGTCAAGTTTGCAGTGGCCTTTCTGCCAGACTCTCCCAGGCAGGGTGTCCTATGGCCACTCCAGCCTCGCCCCTGCCCTCCTTAAAGACAAGGTCTCACTGTGTAGCCCTACCTGGCCTAGAACTCTCTGTACAGTCCAGAGATCCCCCTGCCTCTGCCTCTGGAGTGCTAGATTAAAGGTGTGTGCCACCACAGCCAGCTCAGGCCCAATTGTGTGGCTGCACCCCTTCAGCCAGGACTCAATAGACAAGCAGGTATCTGCTTTGCAGCCCAAGGCACTACCCAGGGGAGAGGGAACCTCCCAAACACCCTGTAGCTCCAGTGCAGATTGACCCAGCTGGTTGGTGGCACTGATGACCGGTGGAAAAGTCATGGGCCACGGACACGACTACCAGGGTTAGAAAGAGCTTTATCAGAAAGAAGCCAGGCCTGGAGAGAAAGGAAGATGGCGGGAGCAGAGAGAGTGCGCGCAGAGAGGAAACACAGAAAGAGAGGGGTGGGGGGTCTGCGTCCCACTTTTTTAAGGCGCGGATTGCATGACCATGCGGCAGTACGGTGTTAGACCCAAGCTGCGCATGTACAGAATCCTAACACCAGCAAGGCCTGCTTAGGATGTCATGTCCTTGGGAATAAAATCAACTCCAGGCATTCACAAAGAGCTTCTGAAGGAGGGCGACTCTGCGCTCTGCCTTGCTTGGTCAGAGTCACTTCTACACAGTGTGCCCCTGTCCAAGGCAGCAGGAAGTCGGCTGTGACCAGACCACTCTCCATTCTGGGCAGGAGAAAAAGAAACAGATATCCAAAGAGAGAGAGACAGTGAATGTGAATATGAGAAAGATGAATGAGAAAACTCCTGGCATACAGGCCTCAGCCCACGGGCTCCTCAGCAGGCTGTGGAAGTGCTCTGAAGCATGTGGAATATAGGAACCTTGTATCTTTCTGTGAAGCTGGAAGAGAAGCCTGGATTGTTCCAGAACAGAGGGCTGGAGGCCCTGCTCCTCAGGGAGCAGCGATAAGGTTCCCCCAGACCCACAAGGCCAGCTTCAGTTCCCTAGGGAGGTGGGCAGGCATCAGAAGAGATGGACAGACCCTAGTACCTTCCAGGAGCTGGAAGGGGACCCAATTGTCACACAGTGGGCTCCAGCAGAGTCTGAGCAAAGATGTCCGTTCCCTACCCACCCCCAATAACATGGTGGTTCTCGTTTCTCAGTTCTGAAAGCTCCCCTGGAGAAGCTGCCAAAATTAAGAAAGAGACTGTGTCTTGGCAGGGTGCCTGGATGTGATAGGCACGGTGGCCTCCCATCAGGAAGAGCCAGAAGAAAGGGCCTTCTTCCTATCACCCCGACTCTCCCTCAGCCAGCCAGCACTGGAAGCACCAGGACTGACCACCTGAGACTGCAGCAGGTTCTTGGCTGATGACAGGCACCAAAACACTGAGCCGCTTTTGGCTAGCCTTACACCCCGTGATCATCACTCACAGGGTCCAGAGCTTCCCGTCACTCTCCTGGTGAGAGTTGGTACAGAGGTGAGCACAGCTGTCCCAAGTCGCTCTCCTTTTAGAGAACTCTGACATCTGAACCCCTCTTCCCAGCTTGTTTCTGGAGACTCTGAAAGCTTCTGGGCACGCTAAGGCTGACCTCTCCTGCACAAAGTCCCCCGGGGGTAAGGTCCCCAAAGCAAAAGCTGTACCAGGGCCTTGCACCTAGCCCAGCCCTATGCAGAGAAGTCCTTGGTCCGCATGTGCTGAAGGGGCTTGGTCCACAGTCCCCAGGAAACCCAGAAGCCAGGTCTGCACCATCTGCCCTGTGGGACAGGAACTGGTCAACACCCATCGTTCCAGCAGCTTGACCGGGAGACCAAACAGCCTAACCGTGTCTTTCCTGTCTGTGACAGGACTGTCCTGCTCATGCCAACCTCCACAAA